ACTAGAGCACAGGCTTTATAATAGAAAAACCAATCTGGAAGCCCAAAGCCTGCTCTTTGTTTTGTGATTTGAAGTCTTTTGATTTTTATTCTAGTTTTTTCCCCTTGCCAGACAAAATTTATTTATTTATTTATTTGTAAATTCTTAAGTATTAATTGTTTTGTAAGAACTGGTATTGTCTGAAAAAGAAATATCATTTTAGGTAATACATTCATCTTCACAGCTGCAATTCTCCCCATAAAATATAATTGAAATTTTGACACTTTTTCCAGATCTTTTTCAATCATACCAGTTAGTTTGACATAGCTGTCTTTTATCAAAGTACTTGGGGTTTTTTGTTTGTTTGTTTGTTTGTTTTTTTGGTAATATGAATTCCTAGGTATTTGACTTTTCCCCCCTCTTAAAAACCTGTCATTTGTACTAAATTTTTAATCTCCTCTTTCTTCATATTTTTGGTCAAAACTTGTGCTTTTTGTTTATTTACTTTTTTAGTCCAGATACTTCTCCAAAAATTTTTATTGTTTCTTTTAATGTCCTAATTGAATTTAATGAATCCTCTAAAATAAAGATCATGTCGTCCACAAACGTCTATATTTTATATTCTTCCCCTCTTATTTTGAGACCTTTTATATCTGGGTTCTGTCTAATTTGTTGTAATAATGTTTCAATAAATAGTACAAACAATAAAGGACACAATGGGCATTCTTGTCTTGTTCCTTTTTGTATTTTTATATCCTGTGTAAGTTCTCCATTTATTCTGATCTTCGCTCCAGTTTGAAAGACATTTTTAAAAGGCAGCCAAAATGAAGGGGAAAGTGCTCCCCCATTCACAAGCTTACAAACGGCTGATCTTTGTCAGTGTCTCTGATCAATTTCTCGTGCCTTGTCATGATAGCCCTGGCTGCCGGGAGAGAGAGGGAGAGGAGGGGGGAAGGAGGCAAGGGGAACCAGCAGAGGATCTGGCAAAAGGGAATACAAGAGAAATCGACCAAAGACATTGTCAAAGACCAGGAGCTTCTAGGCTTGCAAAGGAAAACTTTTCCCCTTCCGCTGGATACTGTTTTTAAAATATTCAGTCTGTAATACTGATATAGCAATAAGCCAGTTTGAAAGAAATAAGAAAAATATTAAAAATAACATCACAGCAGCAACATCAAGTGCCCGATGTGAGAGTAGATAGCTTTCCACAAGACAAAGCTTTAATTGCTACAATTTGAAAAGTCCATGTACCCCTCTCAACTGATATACAACATACCTTAAAAACAGATTTAAAGTTTCCCAAGAGGACACACACACACACTAACTCAAATACCATGTGACTATCACATGACTTTGACCCAATTTCAAAAACCCCTATCCAGCTATCTATTCATTTTCATAGTGTAACCAATCTCTCAGTCACAATCCTTTGTCTTGTATAAGCAAGATCAGGATCAAATCCACGTTGCTCACTTATTTATCTTTCTTTTTGGCAGCAGGCTTCTCTGAAGGCATTTGTTACTGCTGGCAATTACTTCTTCATCAATCACAAGAACAGCAGACCTTTGACATCTAGTCTTAAAGAAATATGAAAGTAAAATCAGCCTATGGCAAAATGCATGTACATCACATGGGTTATATGTGACTGTTAGTCCATTCCCTGTAACAAAGAATTCATTTATATAGCACTGTCTTTCTTCTAGCTATTATGCATTCTTTTCTGTGATGGAAGAAAATATGGTTGTAATCAAAATTATTGAACTCCCTCTGCAAAGCAGGTTTACTGTCAAAATTTACAGACTAATAATTCTGAGACAGCAAAATTCATTAAAAGTTGCATTTTCAGTTGAACTTGAGGGAACCACTTGAAGCATTTATTATGTTAAGCTATTACAATTGCTTTTGTTTGATTTGTTCACTGCAGACTGCTGAAAGTCTGTAAATTTTGACAATAAACCTGATTTGCAATGGGGATTGAATAATTTTGATTACAACTGTACATATGAATTGTTTTTAGATCTAAAATTATAGAAAAGCTTCCTACTGACCTGGGAGCTTGCTATGTTTTCCTTTTATATAATGCAAGCACTTAAGTTCCAGTATAAATGAAAATGCTCTAAGCTTTCTCTACTTTGCATTTAGGTGCTACAAATTTCAATTGGTATATTTTTTAATGAAACAGTTTGGTGGAATTATGTGTGATTCTATGCCAGCTAACATGAGAGTAAGAGTGAAGTCCTATGCACTTCTAAAGTTTTCATTAAACTCCAACCTACCCATGCGATACCAAACAGATATTCTCAAAAGTGAGACCCACTAATACAGCTTGCTGTTATTGATACACACCATCAAGTTGCCTCTGACTTGTGGCGACCCTATAAATGAGAGATCTCCAACATGTCCTGTCCCCAACAGTCCTCTCCGTTCTTGTAAACTAAAGCCAGAATAGTTCCTCCTCCCCGGGAATCTTCCATCCTCATGTTGTGCCCAAAGTAGGGTAGCCTTAGTTTCAGCATGTCTGCCTCCCAATATATATAGTTCAGGCTTGATTTGCTCTAGGACTATGCAGAATATATCATGTGAAAGGCTGGACTGGATGAATCCCAAGGCGGAATTAAAGATTGCCAGAAGAAATAAAAACCTCAAATATGCAGATGATATCATCCAATGGCAGAAAGTGAGGAGGAATTAAAGAACTTCCTAAAGAGGAGACCGCAAAAATGGTCTGAAGCTCAACATCAAAATACTAAGATCATGGCCACTGGTCCCATCACCTCCTGGCAAATAAAAGGGGAAGATCTGGAGGCAGTGACAGAGTTTACCTTCTTGGGCTCAATGATCACTGCAGATGGAGACAGCAGCCACGAAATTCAAAGACCCCTGGCTTCTTGGGAGGAAATCGATGACAAACCTAGACAGCATCTTAGCTTGCCAAATTTAAGGATGCTGAGAAATTTCAGTCCCTGAATCTTCCTGTACCTTTAAGAGTTTCTTTTTAAAGTGCCCCTGCCAGTCTTTGTAAGCAGAGACTTGGCTGGTGAGTTCCAGAAGCCTATGACATTGACGAAGCGAACAGCCAAGGCTATTGCAATGGATGATTATAAAGAGGCAGGCAGGAATAGGCTGGAAAGGGTCCACTTGCCCAAAAGGACCAGCCTTTCCTAGTGGGTGTCCAAAGGATTTGGAGTGGTACCCCACAATGCAATTACAGGATTTTCATTGTCCTACTGTGGTTCTGAACACATCTATATAAATGGGGGCAAGAAGACAATTTTTTACATTAATCACACTGACCGATAAAGTTGGTTTTCTCTTTGGTTTAAAAACTGACAACACAATATGTATTTAATTAATTAATTATTTTATATCCCACACCATCTGGCAACCAGGCCACTCTGGGCAGCTAACAACAGTATCAGGAACAATATTATAACACGATTAAAAATACATTAATACATAACCAAATAGGGTAAATCAAATTAAAAGAGATGGCAATAAAGGTGGTAAAAAGGGGTGATGGAGAGGATGGCAAAAAGGATGGTAAAAAGGGAGGGCAAGATCTTAGTGATCCAGGTAAGCCTGGTGGAAGAGTGATGGGTTCAATGTTCTTTTGAACCCATCCAGTGACGGTGCCAGGGAGATCTCAATAGGCAGGTTGTTCCATAGGAGGGGGGCAACCACCAAGAAGGCCCGGTTCCTTGTTCTTTCCCTCCGGGCCTCCTTCGGGGTCAAGGCCCTCCACCACCCTGCCTGTGAAGAATGGATATTACAGACAGATCTGGCTGGGAGCAGGCATTCTGATATGTACCAAGGTCCTAAACCGTTTAGGGTTTTGAATGTTATCATCATAACCTTGAAGTTGATGTGGAAACAAACTGGTAACCAATGAAGGGTGGCCAGAGTGGGGGAGATGTACTGGAATTTCTTCACCCAAGTTATTAATCTGGCTGCCGAATTTTGGACCAGTTGAAGTCTCTGCATCAACCTCAAGAGTAGCCCCACATAGAGAGCACTGGAGTAATCTATTCTTGAGATTACGAGTGCATGAATCAGTGTTGTGAGTGCCCCCACATCTAGATAGGGACACAGCTGGGCAATCCTCTGAAGATGGAAATGGGCTGCCCGGACCACAGATGTCACCTGACTTTCCATGGTGAGATCCGAGTCCAGGCAGATGCCCAAGCTGCGAACCTCATTCTTTGTGGGAAGAGTCACTCCCTCAAAGGAGAGGGAGTTTCCCAACCCACTGACACCAGGGCCGCCCACGCACAAGATTTCCATCTTGTCCAGATTCAACCTCAGTCCATTTGCCCTCATCCACCCCAGAACGGTCCCCAAGCAGCATTCAAGGGTTGGAACAGCATCCACTGCAGTTGGAAAAAGGGAGAGGAAGAGCTGGGTGTCATCAGCGTACTCATGGCACTGGGCCCCACATCTCCAGATGACCTCTCCCAGCAGCCTCATATAGGTATTAAATAGCATTGGTGAGATGATCAGCTCCTGCAGAACCCCACAATTGAGGATCCACAGGGTGGAGGCCATCTCGCCAAGCTGCACTCTCTGGGGACGGTCCTCCAAGAAGGAACGGAGCCACACCAAAGCAAGGCCAAGCGGATTCATCATCAAGAGGGGTAATCGTCCAGGGGGGCACCACTGTACCCTGCAAAGCTGCTACAAGTCAGTGCTGACATTGCAGGGTTCAAAGGATCAACTATAAGGCTACATCCTTAGTTTCTATGAATGCCCAATAATTGAACAACATCCCCTGTATACTACATAGAGGACCCAGGTTTTTATGCCTATGTTTTCTCCAAGATCAACTAGGAATACAACATTAAGTTGCACAAGCAACTGGAGAAAGCAGGGTTAAGTAGTGGGAGTAAAGTGGTGGAAATAGAAAGAGCAGAAGCTTTTTTCTTTTTTCTTTTTTTAAGTTTTAGACTTTCACTGTAAGTGAAATGATCAAAGACTGGACTGCCAGGAATTCAAACTCGTGATCATCATAAGAGCTATCTGGGGCTAACAAGGAAACAGGAAAAGAGGAAATCAGTATTTTTTAAAATCTCATTAAGCTCTTACCACTTAGACAGAGTCCGGGTTAGTGTAAGAAGGTAAGTCATGAATTCTTTAACCTTGATTTTTACACTAAGTTGCATTTTACTTTTCTTAATTCTGAAAAATGTACAGTATCTGAATGAGAAATACATTGCTTAAATGGCGGTGTCTTTAAAATGGGGTTTGTGTTTTAACTGAAAGTGCTTTGTGTTTTAACTTGGTTCACAACAGAATTTAGCATTTTGCTGGTTAGCTGAAATTAGAAGCTATTATCCTGTTCTGTGTTAGGCTGTTTCAACCCCACAGCATTTAATCAGATTTAAATGGTGTAACTAGATAATATTGCAGCCAAAATGTTTATCTGTATTTTTATACAGACTGATAAGAATCAGGGCAAGCCATTCAGCTTGATTTGACATGGATGGTTAATTTTCCTTGGATATTTATCAAACGGCAACTAGACAAATCCATTAGAAAATTTTGATCATGTGATTGGGGAGGCATGGACACTTATAAAGCAGCAGGAATTCAGAATATACAGATTATAAAAGGTAGTAATGTACTGTATTTGGAGAACTAAACTTGTGGTTGGTATTGCTAAGAGTTGCCCATCCGAAAGCACCAGGGTGTGTGTTCCCAAGCTTAGGTATTTGAAATCTAAGGTTAAGATGTAGCATTAACTTCTTCTCCCTCACACATGGGGAAGAGATGGCCAGGCTGACCTAAGAACTCCAGTTTTCTCTCAAGCCTACCTGAGATGTACACATTCAGCCGCTGCCCTGCTGGAACAGCCAGTTCAGGCTTGGCTTTTGCCCACCCACCCTTCCTCAGTTAACAAAATTAAAGGTACAGTTGATTGCCGGGGGAAAGGGATAATATGTCATTCTTCTGTGTTAGCATAGATTGTAACTTATTTTTCTGGTATTATTGCTTATAAACAACTCTTCTTACAACTTTGGTGGTGAGTCAGTATAGGGACAAATCCATTGGTTTCCCTGCAGTCCTATCATTTCAGGGTTTTCCATCACCAAGAGGTTTGAAGGCAGTGGGCTGGCTGGCAGTCAGGTCAGGTTATGTTCAAATCTGAACCCTGTATCCATGCTTGGGTCAAAGCTGTCTTCAGCTGTAACCAAATAAAATTGTAGTAGACAATTCCTTCCAACAGATGGTGTGGTGTCTGTTATTAGGCAGCTTGCTGGTGGAATGTTAAGTTCTGTAAAAACCTCTGCATCTTGTTTAAAATTTGTTTTGTAATTGCTTGTGAAATTTCTTAGGCAGAATTGCCTAATGGCCACCAGTGTTCGTTCTGCTACATTACTGTATTTGTTCTGTTTAATAACTGTCCATCTGCACCGTCTCACTGGCAGCAACCCTCTGGGGTCTTAGGTTTTAGAGATACCATAGGATGAAGTGATATCTTTCACCAATGTTCCTCATTAACAATAATTAATGAGGAACACTGATGAAAGAGAATCAAGGTTATATATAAGGAAGTAGAACCACAAAATAAATCTGTCTAGTACCCAAATGAGAGCTCGATGAGTATGTTCTCCCTCCTTTGTTGATATCCCTGTTCCCAAGTTTGTTGTTGTTTAGTCATGTCCGACTGTTCGTGACCCCATGGACCAGAGCATGCCAGGCCCTCTTGTCTTCCACTGCCTCCTGGAGTTTGGTCAAATTCATGTTGGTAGCTTCGGTGACACTGTCCAACCATCTCATCCTCTGTCGTTCCCTTCTCCTCTTACCGTCACACTTTCCTAACATCAAGGTCTTTTCCAAGGAGTCTTCTCTTCTCATGAGATGGCCAAAGTACTGGAGCCTCAGCTTCAGGATTTGTCCTTCCAGTGAGCACTCAGGGTTGGTTTCCTTTAGAATGGATAGGTTGGTTCTCCTTGCAGTCCAAGGGACTCTCAAGAGCCTCCTCCAGCATCACAATTCAAAGGCATCAATTCTCCGGTGGTCAGCCTTCTTTATGGCCCAGCTCTCACTTCCATACATCACTACTGGAAAAACCATAGCTTTGACTATGCGGACCTGTGTCAGCAAGGTGATGTCTCTGCTTTTTAAAGATGCTGTCGAGGTTTGTCATCGCTTTCCTCAAGTTCCCAATTCCTCAAGTTCCCAAGTTAGGCCTGTTTTTGTGTGTGTGTGTGTGTGTTTTTTTTGGTCTAACATTTCCATGTTACTGCAGAGCCTTTTTATATGTGAGATTGAACATTGTCCTTTCAAGGGAGATGCAAGGAAGATCATGAGGACATTCTTATTCTGAGAGAGTTTGCTAATTTGACAGCACTAGACTAGATGCTTTTTCACATATTCTGTGTTCTTGCCCTTGTTATGCAAGAGGGCGTTCTATTAAATTTTAATTTGATGATATTCTGTGTTCTTGCCCTTTTTATGCAAGAGGGCGTTCTATTAAATTTTTATTTGATGTATTGGAAATATCATTCTCTGAAGACCTTGTCTCTGTACTGTTAGAAGATAAAAATCATTATATCTCTGTAGCAGTTGCAAAATTTGTTGCTTTTATCCAGTGTGCCAAGATAATTGAACTTCCTCATGCTACTTAAAATTTTTGTTTTTGCTGCTCAGGAGTTTCTCATGAGCTTCTGCGGTAGCAAAGGAAAGGAGAGGTATTCTCAAAGGCTTTCACTGCTGGGAAGTGATGGTTGTTGTTGGTTTTTCGGGCTCTTTGGCCATGTTCTGAAGGTTGTTCTTCCTGATGTTTCGTAGGTGAACATGCCCTAAAACAAGCTGGACATGAAATTCTGTTTCAAAATACTGAAGTACTGAACAACACCAGCAAGCATTATGTTAGACTGCACAGGGAAGCCATTGAAATCCATAAACACCAACAGAGCTTCAACAAAAAAGAAGAAAGTCTAAAACTTAACAAGGCCTGGCTTCCAGCACTGAAAAATACAGCCTGCAAAAGGTCAACAAACTCTCCCCAGCCACAAGGCCCAGGGATCATTGCACAAAAAAGACCAGCTAAAGACCCCCATCAATCACAGTGACAGATAATCTCTCTCCCTTATCACAACAATACATCCAAAACAAAAACACGCTGATCACCATCATCACCCTATCTCCTGGAAAGGACAATAGCTGTTCCCACAGCTATAAATGCTCAACTATCCAACAAACAGCAACAAAGCATGGATAGAGTTTGTACTCCAGTCCTCTGAAAATGCCAGCCACAAAGACTGGCAAAACATCAGGAAGAACAACCTTCAGAACACGGCTAAAGAGCCCGAAAAACCCACAACAACGAAAGGAGATATACCTTCTTTACACAAAGCATGTGTTTTGTAATTACATTTCCTAAACATAGCATGAATATAAACTATAGATTCTGCTGCTGAAACTAGTTGTTAAATAGTGGTTCTTCTCAAGCTTCAGAGCAAGAAACAAAACAAAAATAAATGTGTGAGTGAATGTAGTGGTTTCTGTGATCTACGTTCTTCACACAGACGTTCTTCTATTTCCTTTCAGAGGTCAACATGAACACTTATCTTAAAGGAGTTAGTCTCTAGTAGTTGCTTATTGCCCTTTATTGAGAAGGATTACTTTTTAGATCAAATCTTCACAATGTATTTTCTAACTCTTTTTGAAGCTTCTCAATCTACCCTTACCCACAGCATGAGACAATTTGCAAACACAACTTTAAAATACAGTAAAATCTGACAAATGTGTTAAAATATTGTGTTTGGAATGCTGGTGTACGACAACAGAATTTGGAAACTGAAGGCCATGTGTTTTAGCCATCAGTTCCCACCTAGGAAAGGAACAAGTAGGATCTTGTCACCTGCTGGGCCTAGCTGGGGGTTGAGGAGTTCTTCCTCATTTTTCTTCTGATCCAGGCATTCTGAAAACATGGCCTGGATCCAAGAAATGGAGCTGTAGTACCATGAGAGTTAATCAGTCAGCCAGCGTTAAGTGAAACTGTGGGTATTGGTCCAGTGGATACAGGGGCCCTACTGTAGTAGCAAAACAGCTTCTGCTCGGCTAAATTGGCATCACCAAAGACACCAGCTGAGTTGTCACTTGCAACTGTGGGAACCTGACAAAGGGCCATGCTTTTCACTAATGGAATGTGTTGCTAACAAGCAAGCTTGTATTTCTGCCTTGTGTATGAAGAATCTTACAGGAAAGCATTACATGACTTTGTTCATTTTCTAGGTCTCACCTGAGTCAAATAAGATGCCCAGAGGGGATCATAACTTCGATGGCAACTTTGGTGGAGGGAAGAGATACAGCTCTCTTTCTGCAGAAGAGTAAGCAAAGCATCAAGTTTCAGGACAAAAGATTCAAAATCAGTTTCGAACATATGTTTTTACTTGTGAGAGAGGCTGCAAAATGCTTTTCTTAATTTTAATCCATGCTGATTCCTCATTGACTTGCAATAGAACAGAGAAACTGCAGGGTCAGCTTGTGTACTGGCCATATAAATGAATGAATGAATGAATGAATGAATGAATGAATGAATGAATGAATGAATGAAGAGTAAGCAAAGCATCAAGTTTCAGGACAAAAGATTCAAAATCAAACATATGTTTTTACTTGTGAGAGAGGATGCAAAATGCTTTTCTTAATTTTAATCCAATGCTGATTTCTCATTGACTTGCAATAGACCAGAGAAACTGCAGGGTCAGCTTGTGCACTGGCCAAGTCTTAGGCGAGGTGTGTGTGTGTGTGAGAGAGATACATACTAAACACCATAGTATTTTTGAAAGTACTAAAGCAGTACTAAGTTTGTCTTGGGTATATAAATAAACAAACAAACAAACGAATGAACGAATGTTGGGAATCAAAGTCCCCATAAAGACCTGCCTCCAGGTCTCATCAGTGTTCGGTAAACTCAGGGCCGGGGCCAGGCTTTTTTTTGCACCCTAGACAAGACTAACTACTTGCGCCCCCCCAACCAATTTTCAAAAACAAATTGTTGGAAAAACAGAAAGTACAAAACAATTTTCTTTCTCAAGTACAAAAGTTTTAGCTCACAAATCATTTTGAATAATCCTATGAACTATAATGTCTCTTTAATGTTTCTATTTTTGCCACATCAGAATCTCATTTTGCCTGCCTTTTCTTTTGCAAATTTTGTCACCGATTCCTTCAGGTCAGTGGCTGATGCTTCGGCATGTTCAACTGACATAGTTGCCAAGCCAACTAGTCTACTTTGCAGCATTGTTGAGCGTAAATATGTTTTTATAAGCTTGAGCTTTGAGAAACTGGGTTCACCACTAGCCACTGACACTGGAAGTGAGATAAGAGCAACAGAAACATTAGGCACACTATCCAGGAATTTTTGTTGCACTATGAAGAGAAGTACTCCTTGTGGTGGCATAAACTTTGGAAGTCTTTGAGCTATTGCTATAAGTTCATAGCACAGATCTTCAGCATCAATATCTTTGTTTCCATTGTGCATCAATGATTTCCCAAATTGTTGCAGGCCTTAAGTACATATTCAGTACATTTTTTGTTGATCTTCTATATGTCATATAGGAAGCCAAACAAGGAATTATATTGTTGTGGCTGTTGGAATCTCTCTTCAACAGATTGTATGGCCATGTCTAAGAAACTTACTTCTGCTTTGGATCTTGTGGTGCCTCCTTTTGTGCTTCATACTCAAACTGCTTTTTTGTTCTTTTTCTAACTTGTTCTGTCTCAAAGTTTGGTAGTATTTCTAGCTCCTTTATAATCTCAGTAGTATCCATCAAAACTTGTTGAAAACCCACACCACACCTACAGCCCACAAGGTAATTCTTAATCACTTGCAATTGGCTTATACCTGAATTTAAATAATTTTCCTTATTTTGTAACAGCTTGCTTGTAAGATTAATTTCAAAAATAATGTTGTACCGTGTAACAAGGGATACCACAAATTTGAACTTACAAATAGCATCAGCAAGGGCCTTAGCTTCAATTCGAGAAGTATTTCCAGATAAATCCTTTAGGCTTGTGTCATCAAAGATCTCTAATAAAGCATAATATTTACTTCCAAAATGGTATCTCAGGGGTTTTAAAGCATTGATCCGACTTTCCCATCTCGTTTGACTGAGTGGCTTAACAGTTATGCTTGATACATGGCTCGTTAGAATTTGCCAATGCCAAGTTGATGCAGATAAATAATTATAGATCTATTGAATCAAACTGAAGAAACTTGTTGCTTCCAGACAACATTTAGCGGCATCGTTGACTACCAAGGTTAAAGAGTGGGCATTGCAGGGCACAAAAAAGGCATGTGGATTTATGTCTAGGATTCTCTTTTGCATGCCATTTTCTTTGCCTTTCATGTTACTCCCATTATCATAACCTTGACCACACAGTTCCTCAATTGCTAAAGCTTCCAAAAAGAGTTTCTGTCATAAAGACACCTGTAGTGTCCTTTAGTTCAGTGGTTCTTAACCTTTGTTACTCGGATGCTTTTGAACTGCAACTCCCAGAAACCCCAGTCAGGACAGCTGGTGGTGAAGGCTTCTGGGAGTTTCGGTCCAAAACTCCTGAGTAACCCAAGGTTAAGAACCAGTGCTTTAGTTGAACAAATCCCAAGAAATGTTCTTTAATCATAACCTAAGGTTTGGACATCTCAGTATCTGATGGTTTGATCAAATTGACCCGGACTTTTCCAGAGAGTTGGCCTCACCTAGTTATGGCCCGTTATCAGACATATCATGTTCTGATCCAGTAGAAATAATTGCTGAGAAATCAAGAGTTAATAAAATGTAAAATCGGCTAGTTTGAAGTTGTCAGTGTTAGGGAGAATAGGCTTAGTTAATACTTGAATATTACTAACATTTTAATTTTTATTCCAAAGCATAACTCTACAACTGGATTAAAAATAATAATAATAGCAAGGAAATTTAGAAAGGTTTATTGTGGGAAAGGGAAACAAGATAAGAATTTTAATGGTGTTAAATATGGACAAGGGGCAAAAGGAGGATTAGAGATACTACATTTGCAAAAATATTATGAAACTTTATAAATAAATCAAATTACTAAATTGATACAGACAGAAGAAATTCAAGAAAGCTCTAATTGGGTTGAAATGGAGGGTGGTGGAAAAATGGATATTGTAAATATGTATATTTACACAACAAAATTATTTAGAAAGAGAGAACAAATACATAATCCTTTTATTTTTAAAACATTAAGGATATGACAACAATCTATGAAAACTTTTGTTCCCCCATTATCCCCCTTATATCTTCCTTTGGATCACCCAAATTTTAAATCTCATGAGAAATATGTGCAATTTAAACATTGAAAAGAAATTGGAATATATAGAATTAGGGATTTATTTGAATCAGGGGAACCAATTATTGTTAGACAAACAGAAGAGAAAACAAAGCAAATAAGAATCAGTACAAATAAAATAAACAAGGAGCTTTGCAATACAATTATATCAAATATCTTGTCCTAGGTCAAGGTAAAGGTTCAGGTTCCCCTTGACAAATGCCCAGTTGTGTCTGACTGTAGGAGGTGGTGCTTATCCCTGAATTTGAACAATACTGTACTGTATACAAAAAGATAAATATAAAAGGATAGAATTGACCTCAGTAATATATAAATGAAAGTAATATATAAAGAAAATGGTAAAGATGGAGGAACCAAAGCATCCTGGGAAACAAATTTAAATATTAATACTGTATACCTGAAGAGTTTGGGACAGGGATATGGAATAAATATCCATATATATCAGTATCAGCTAAAACAAAAGAAACAGTTCTGCAAGTTGTTCACAGATGGCATCTGTACTCTTCGAAGCTACATAAAATCAACAGGGATATATCAGATAAGTGTTGGACAACATTGTTGGTCAGTAATTTTCTAGGATGGAATGGTGATTTGAGATTAACTGTAATTTTATTAAATGGTGTGAATAGCTGATGTTTAGAAGGTTAAAATATTTAGTAAGTAAGATGAACCGTTAATCGTATTATCTGTTTGTAATGTGATTGATTGTCTAAAATAAAGTTTTGTTATTTAAAAAAAATCCTGTTACTATATAACTTGTTCATTAAGTGCTTCCTTCACACTTTACAATGTTATTCCTGAATATATAGAGTTCTGCTGAACTGATTAAACATTCCCAGTGCATTTCCTACAAAAAATGTAGGCATAAATTGCAGCATCTTTTTACTGATTGGAATTCAACAGAAGAATTATGCTGATGTAAACCCATCAGCATTAATCTCAGTGGCAAATTATAGTTTATTAAGAAGTCAGTGTTTATTGTCAACTGCCAAGTCATACAACTGGTATGTGACACCGAATCCAAAGCTGACTTTTCAATTAATAGCAGTTAATTGCTGAGATTTATACCAGTGCACTTATATGGGCAGGTTCAAGTAATAAGATTCTGTCTTCTGTGTCGGAATTGCATTTTATACAGGTCATTATTAAGTCTCCTTTTCTTCCTATGCGTTTGGAAAATGGGAACTGTTGTTTAAGTTTTTGTTTACCTATAAATCTTTTTTTAAAAACAGGGCTGCAGGTATTGGAATTCTTGTTGTCGTTCTTGCAGTTTTAGTGATCATTGGCTGGTGGTATTACAGAAAACGAAGCGGCTATAAAAGCATTATGGTAAGGACAAACCAGCTTCCTGCCACACAGTTCATGATTACATTCGTTAATCAGACCTACAATACCTTGAATGAGGCTTTGTTTCTAGAAGAGCGTCCTGAGGTTCACTAACTGCTAGAACTGATATTTTCTAATCGAGATGTTCTTTCTCTTAATATCTGACAGAACATTACGTTGTTAATCATGTGTGAAGCAAATGAACTCTGCAGCTCCTGAGAAACACGTTATGTTTTCTTCAGTTGTATGCTCTACGGTTATACTTGCACATGACAATCTTACCAACCTTGGCATAAACTTAAGCCTTGAATTTACACTTGCTAAACATTGTGCATAACATGAACGTCTCAGGAATTTCAGCAGAGGCCATCCTGAGGGTACTGTAGCGATCACCCCTGGCATGAATATTCAGCAGTGTATTTGCATGTACCAATGAAAGCTGTTGGGAGGAGGAGCCAGAGAAACTAGAAGGGAAGGGTGAGTCAGAGTCTAGGGCAGTGATAGTGAAACTTTTTGAGCTCGAGTGCCCAAATAGCCACACAAAATCAACTTATTGATTTCAAAGGGACAACCTTGCAATTAAAACCTGAATACTGAGGTTTTAGCTTAGAAAAAAACACACAACTCTCCTGCACTGCAAGGGTTAAATGCTTGTGGCTTTTTTTTCCCTATGGGTGGTATTAACAAAGAAATACTTACCAATCCCCCATTGGGCTAGACTGGTAATGGTCGCCATTGCACCCCCTCCGCTGGACCACTGCAGCAGCACAAGGGATTGCCAAAATGGGGTCAATGGCGACTTATGGCTTGGGTGCCCACAGAGAGGGCTCTGTGTGCCAGCTGTGGCACACATGCCATAGATTCGCCATCATTGGTCTCAGGAGTTCAGTCAAAGACAGAGAAGAGGGAAGATAGTTTGCATTTGAGGCAGAGAGAGTGTTTAAAGAGTGATTAGTCAGAGTGTGACCTCTCTTAATTAAGACAGAAGAGGTTAAAGTAAAATACTGAACCTTTGTCTTATGTTTAAAAGTTCAGTACTGAAAGGAGCTCAGTCCTTCATAGGAAATATAAGTTGATAAAGAGATCAACTGGTGGCAGCATGTTAAAGGGCGTGTTGGGATACCTTTGTGAGCTCTGTGTTTGGTGAGACAAGCAGGGGCCACGGGGTAAGCGTCACAGGTACCATCTCCTCTAAAGAATGCACACACCGCCTTATATGAATCCCATGCAAGGAAACCCATTGCCTCTCCTGGCATGAGGGCCTGACTAGCGCTTGTCATTGGATCCTCTGCAAAGAAAATGGCTGCCAAGGCCATGTTCTGTCACTCATTTGATGAGAGCTGGGCATTCATGACTTTTGCCCACAACTGGCATGGATCCTGGGTGCAAGGAGAGTTCAGTGGTCTTACTGAGCACCCTTTGCCTGGCTGCCAGTGCTGCTGCAGGTGACCACTCTGGGAAGATGTAGCAGTGAGTGCTCTCTCCTGATGCTTTCTTTTCTTAGCATGAGCATCTCACACTGTTTGGACTAGAATTCCTTGTTGGAGCTTTATCCTTCTGTGGAGAAAGTACCCTTGATGAGAGGATCACACATGGTGGGCAGAATGTACATTTTGTCCTGACACGAGAAATGCCCTAGAGACTTGGAGCTGTCCCTCAGCCTCCATACCACTTCCTTGCCATCATGCAGGAAAAGGTTTCTCTGCCTAGAAATGCCTGGCAGTTAAAAATTTAACTGTCCTCTTCTGAAAATGCCTGAGCATGAGGATCACCTGGCTGACAATGTCTGTGTTGCTGCTCAGTGTCTAATTGCACAAAGAAAAGACACGAGGGCCACCACCAACAGGAAAATGGCCTCTCACTGTTGCTTGGCCAGGGAAACTGGGACAGTGCTTGGACAGGACACGACTGTTCCATTGTGGTCTCCTGCATCTCATAGATGGAATTTCAGTATGTTGACACAATCTGGCCTAGTCTGTGTTGTGACAGGCTGACGTTGACCTGCTTCATTCACAGCAGTATGATGGCCATGACATTGTGGTGAGAGTGCCTGAGACCTTCATGATTTACAGTTTTTAGAAGAAGTACCTGCATTATTCTGTGCAAGCATGTCAGTTTTAGTCTCTTGGCTTTTATTGGTTCTTTGTTTTATTTGATACACTTCAAACTTGACTCCAAAGCTGTGGAAATCTCTCCCCCAGCACTGTTGTAAGGAACACTGGACAAATTTAGATGTGGTTTGAACTCAACTTGGAGCCACAATTGCTGGGTATATAGAGAGAGTGTTGTTGTTTTTTAGCTGGATTAAAGCAGTTGGTTAATTCTTTTTGATAGTTGCATAATTTGAAGATAAAAGGGACATGGGTGGCACTGCAGGTTAAACCATTAAGCCACTGAGGTATTGATTGAAAGGTCAGCAGTTTGAATCCATTTCTACGAGATGAGCTCCTGTTGTTTGTCCCAGCTCCTGGCAAACTAACAGTTCAAAAGCATGTAAAAGTGAGTAGATGAATAGGTACCATTTAAGAAGGAAGATAATGGCATTCCATGTTCAGTTATATTGGCCATGTGACCACAGAAAGTGTCCATGGACAAATTCTACTATGACCACACATTCTGCAGTGATGCAACAGCTTGATTATGTGCCCGAATATGTCAGCATGCAGTTCAGGTGTATCTTTCAACCCTGCAGCCCTTTTTTGGCTATCCACTTCAAAACACTCATGAACCTCAAAAACGTGGGGGCCAAATTAATGACTTAGGCTTAGCTTGCTGCAGCAAATTGTATTCAGAGGTCTCATCCCTCTTTTTTCCTACCTGTTCTCACAATTCTGTAGAGTAAGAACTTTGGAATGGTTACTATGAAGACCGCAGAAGGCAAGAGTGCTTTACTGGGCTCCAGATTTCCCTTACAGGAGGATAACAGCAACTATCACCCTGTGGTAAGAAGATGACTCCTTGTTACCTGTAGCACACCTTTCCACAGTTGCTAGAGAGTGCACTTCTGCTGAAGAATGCACTTCTGATGGCCAACAGAGCTGTAAGGGTAGTTGGAAAGATATAACCATGATAACGCCTGGACATTTCATTCGTTATAAAACAGCTAAGATAATTTGTTTTCCTCTGTAAGAAATTCAGCATATAGCTCTATCGTGTGATCAAAGAAAACACTCAGATACTGGAATTAAACTGTTTTCAAAATTTGCTTTGCAGGACAAGTTATGTTTTCATGCTTTTCTGGAATATAAATTAATATTGAGTCAGTTTGGACTATGTTCAGCAAAATTACTAATAATACAAGGAGGGCTTTTAAACGTGCTGAAAATCGAAACACCTGTTAAGCATTTCCAAAGTTGTGATATTTCAAAGTTCCCAGCCTCCATGGGATCTGTGCTCTGCACCCAAAATGAGCAGTGACTGATGCTGGAGTAAGTGAGCAGCTTGCAGTATGCATTATAAGCACTGTCAGCCTGTGGTCTTAGCAGAAGGTGCCTCATTCCACCATTCTGGGGTGAGGCACAGCCCTGCTCAGATCACAGACTACTCTTTTATAAGAAGGGGGAAGTAGAGTTGCTGCTGCACTATGTTTGTGTATGACATACTGTTGGATGTGTCACTGTACATATTTGTGATATGCACATTACCCTTCGCACATTTCATATCTGCATATTCTATGTACCAGCGTGTTTTAGCATGAAGTTATTTCATTGGTATGCTACCCTTTTATTAATGTAATACACACCAAAAATATTAAGATGTCTCAAAGCTATAAATGCTCATCAATTGGTTCTGCCAAATAGCAGCTGTATAATACTGAAGGAAATACAATGACCAGAATTGTAATGCTGTCTGCATAAAGTTGGGGACATTACTTGTTGTAGCTGATTAACAATGTGCATTGGTGCATCTCAATCATGTGTGCCCAGTTGCACAAACAAGCTATGCCCCAGCACCTTGTCCATTAGCCACAGGAAGTTACGGAAACCTCATGCAGACACTAATAGGATTCTAGTCAATGTCATAGATTAATCAAATATTCTTTACCTTTTATGGCAGCTTAATTGTAAAGTTGAAATTTTATTTGTTTCTGGCCTGGGAGAATCCCGTTGAATATAATGTTGCTTTTAAACATAATGTGGGATTATAAAAATTGTTTGTATTAGCATAGGTAGCTACAAAGCTTATTATGGTTTTTATGCAAGTGATTGATTTCCCTCTCATTCCACTTTCATTAATCCAGGTACCTGAGGCTCCACCAGCCTATGAAAAGATCTCCACCAACCCACTGCCACCCCCTTATGCACCATGAAATAAGAATATCAAGTGTGACTTAATTACATGCGCTGTCTTTAATTTCTAGCAGTAATGTGTGTATGTATGTAGGAGAAGGCTCACACTATTATAAATGGTTCCAGAAACCACTGTTGTTTAAAGAAAATCCCTATTGCATGAGATGTATTCAAATGTTTATATCACAGCTTTTTGTATCTTTAATGTAGTTTTCTAGAATTCATTCTGCATGAAATAGATTATGAAAAATTATACACAAGGAACCTGCTAAGAATAATAAATACTGAAGAAATCTTCTTGAAATTTGTAAGGCTTTTTAAAAAGAAAAGACTATCAATAAGTTTGTCTCTTAATAGAATGAAATTTGTAGAGATTGTTCAAAGGAAAGAAAGCCAAATATCAAAATAAAGCAAGTTTCTTCCTGTAAGGAGTTTTGACCAAGAGCAGCCTTTATAGTTTGAGGGTTTAAAAAAAGAATGCCATTTTCTTCCTTGTTTTTTGGGGGGACATTTTTCATGAAAATGACATATCAAATGGAATAATGAATTTCATAATTGCACAGTTCAGTGTAGACATTTTAAATCTGGGGGAAATCATTTCCATACTCTTATTCCCCTCCTTGGCCATGAGGGCAGTTTGGATAAAATTGGCTGCCATGTCGACATGCCTAGAAAAGAACCCTGAAAAATTTCAAAACAAGAAGTGTGGGGGTTTGAGAGTTCTGGTGAAAAAAAAAAAAGCTGAAGACTGTTTTGCTCTGTTTTACACTCATCATTGTAATTGCAGAATATACCATAAGACAAGGATTGACAGGGAGCATAGTAACAGAGAGAACATTTACGCATCAAGCATTTTCCAGGCAGGCAGTAAATTCTACAGCCTTTCAGGTTCCACAGATTGTCAAAATATTTATGCTTTTTGGAAGGAGAACTGCAAAAACATTGAATCTTGTGTTAGTTCTGTGATATATGATTTGAACATCCTTCCCCCAAGATTTTGGGATTGACAAACACTGGAAAAATGTCTATATGTAATTATAAGTGTGAGGTGGCGCTACAGGTTAAACTGCAGAAGCCTCTGTGCTGCAAGGTCGGAAGACCAGAAGTCGTAAGATCGAATCCACGCAACAGAGTGAGCTCCTGTCACTTGTCTCAGCTCCTTGTTGGGAATACATGGTTGTTCAAATGATCTTGGACTACAACCCTCATAAGTCCATAGCCATCAAGCCAAAGATGTCCTGAGTTACTGTCCAACAAGATTTGGAGGCCTCTATGTTCTCCTGCTTCACCTTATATGGAGAACTTAAGGAGAAATGAATCAGTTTTTGGAGATGCACTGTCTTTCTCCAAACATAAATTGCTAACAAATTTCAGCCAGCTACAAAGTTCCACTTTGATTTGAACGTCTCCTGAATCTGTCTAAATGAGCACAATTTGGTTGTAGAATCACCCAGATCCAAAGTGTGTGCCCTGCTCTTAACAGACTAGATAGGCGGGATATAAATAAAATAAATAAATAATAAAATAAATAAATAAATTCAGGCAAACTTAATAGACCTCACGGCACAGCGAGTCACCTTGCTAAAATGTCCTGATTTTTTAAGAAGCAAAAGCACTGAAGCAGCAGCAGATGGGAATACACAGTAAACAGCTTGGAGAAGAAATTTGAAACATTAATTTGGTAAGGATTTTCTAACAAATTATTTTACCTACTAAATAGCCACTTTCTTTTATAAAGGAAACTTGCTATAGAATGATGTAGGAATAGTTAATAGCTCTTTGGTTGTGGACATCCAGTTCTGTTGCCACTATACTACAGTTAAGAGAAAGGTACTGATTTCCAAGTTTTCCAAGAAGCCAGAGTTTTGTGAATATTGTATTGTTTTTATCTCTTATTTCAAGAAAAGACAGGCAGTACTTTCAGTTTGTTCTCTAGCAACTGAGAGAGTAGTAATCAGAAGTGAATCCAGGAAATTCTCCTAGATTTGAGCTCACATTTCCCTCTTAGTAGCAGCTCCAATTCTTAACATCCCACCCCAAAATGAAACCATTTAGGTATTTCTGTCACACGACTTTTCTGGGGAAATCCTAAATATTCTCCAGAATTTGTCATCTTTAACAAAGTTCCACAAGGGGAAGCAGTCACCTACTATAACAAGAATCCCCAAAAGAAATTCTGGCTACTGTCCATTGTTTAATATAGCATTGGAGAGTTAATCGACTAAAACAGTTTAGAATGCTCTAGTTTACTGGTTCCCAATCTTTGATAACCCAGTTCTTGGACTGTAAGTCTTAGAAACCTCCACCAGTAGCTGTGCTGGCCGGGGTTTCTGGGAGCTGCAATCCAGCAACACTTGAGTTATCCAAGGCTGGGAACCATTGCTCTAGATGAAACTCCCAGTTAAATTTTGCCAAGGATAATCTATCCTGAAAAGAGTTTTTAAAAGCTTGCCCAAATTGTATTATTAAGTGAAGCATGAGTAATAATTACTTGGGTTTTTATCTTTCTAAATTGTTTTAAGACTTCCATTTATTAACTCAGGTTCACTGTGAAAATAAATCTGTATTTTAAATTGAATATTTATGGAGAAAAGTTCCTATGCCTGCTGCTTAACCAGACCTTATATTAATACTGTTGAATTTAGGCACAACAGTTTCTCCATTATAACATAGCCATTTGATAATCCAATTCTTTCCCTTGTGTTTCCTCATGCTATGAAATGCAGGCCCTCAAAATTGTGAAAAAGGACAAAATATCTAACTCTGAGGGCCACAATAATATAACCTTTGGTAGTGACGGTAGAAGTTGGAAATGATGCAAAGGAAAACTGCAGAGAGAAAACTAAAGGCTGGGAAAATTATAACTGTAGGCACATTTACTTGACAGTAAATCCCACTAGTTTTAATGAAATTTGTGTTGCAGTAAGTGTGTTTGGGCTTACAACAATTCTGAAAACCCCAACACCTTAAATTTCTTAATGCACATACATACATAACCTTATGATATCAAGTATCATTTTCCACAGTGACGCTATCATCAAGCAAAAATACATCAACTTTGTTTATTATTACATGCAGATTCTTCTGCATTATTGCTAAACAGTACACTTGTCCAAAATTACTAAAATACTTAAAAAACTATACATTATGTAAACAAATCATAAATAAGACAGAGTAGTTCTTTTTACACATATTTTAGTACATATGGTTAGGGAATCAGGGATATGTACATTTTTACATAGCAGACTGCATTTTACAATGCATAAATATGTTGTGTTCTTTAAAAAAACAAAGCAAAATTTGCAAAACAAAAGTGTACTGTACCGTTTATAAATGAGACTGGGAAACTATTTAAATTGTGAGAAGCATTTTCTTGTAAATGTGCTAACCAAGAATCAACATTGTTTTGCACAACATGTCTCAACAGGTGGCTTCTATGACCATTTAAATTTTAAAAAAAACTTGAATGCACAGCTCTGAAAATTATTTTAAGAGATTTTTTCTCTACAATTAAAAAAAAGGGAAACATGAAAACTCCTGCAATCTAATAGGAAGCTTTTTTTCAAAGGTCAACTATAACCTTATTCACACACCAAAGCCCCCAACCATGGGCATATGATAGATGTTTTGAAACTTTAACATGTAGAAGCTTCCAGGGAACAGCAAACCAGCCAAGTGATATGCAGAATCCTGTCTCCATTCAACCCATGAGTTCCCAGCAGCACGCAAAACAGCGCTGACTTTTACCTGGCTGCTTCCACCTGCTCCAAATGGTTACCATGTATCTTGGATTCAGCCCCGTGTGTATTTGCAAATAGCACACTATTTTTTAAAACAATTATAAATTACTTCCATGTATGAAATAATGTTCCAACATTTTAACAGCTCATTTACTTTAAATTCAAGAGGCAGCTGTGTCAGGTACACCTATGCTGGAATTTAGAAAAGTAGGGAAGACAACAGGAGGATTTCTGGTTGTAGAAATTATGTCTGGAGAGAAGGATGAAGGCATAGAGGAAGATTTTGATGATGAAGCCTTTATAGCATTCAAAATAGCTCCTTCTGGGCTGACCATCAATTTTTTGATAGAAGTGTCTAGCTGCAATACAGAGGTATTGTTTTGTAGCTGTGAGTCACTAGCATGAGTTGTATCAGCCAAAGATGTTTTAGCTACACTAGTTGATGGGGTGGCTTTTACCAAAGATGTAGACAGTGTTGTTGGAAAAGATGGAGTGCTTGGTTTTGCACCATTGTTCATTATCTGTGGCGTTGCATGTACAATAGGCAGAGGGTTTGCAGTGCCAAGGGAGTTTACAATTTTGGTAAAGCTTTTCAAAGGTTGTTTTGATGGCTGCCAACTTGACACATTACTCAACACTTCTGTCATCTTCTGGGGAGAGGAAGAAGCATGGGATAAACCTTGAAACCCATTTCCATTACTAACAGTTAAAACAGGTCCAGCTTTGGGATTGGTTGAGATGAGAAGAATATGGCTGCCAGCTCCAAGGCCCTGAGGTGGAACAATGAAACGGGTTCCGCTGATCATTATCTGAGTTCCAGGTGCCAAAGGTGAACAAGTGTTAATAATTATTTTCTGTTGAATACAAGGCTCATTCAATTGTCCTCCTATATTACCAGCTACTGGTGACGAAGCCGGGGCAGTTTGAGTGGTAGATGCACCAGGAGTACAAGTGAAAACAGGAACAGGCTTTACAAAATTAGGAGGCAGAAGCTGGCAAGGCAGGGGAACTATATTAGGAAAACCAATTACTTTGCCTGTATTTGGAGCATTAGGGGGCAACACTGTTTGAGGTTTCTGAGCACCTCCATTTATTGGTACTGCAGCTGGAATTCCTGGTGACTGAAATTGGACAAGTGTAGGTTGCTGACCTTTTGAAAGGGCCATACATTGTGCAGGAGGTGAAACTGCTGGCAACTGAGGGACTGTGTGTACCATTTTAGGTGCACCATTCAACAGCCCAGGCAAGGCAACTGTAACTGGTAGCTGGAAACTAGATGAGAAACTCGGATGACAAACTGCTGGTTGAGTCGTTGAAATCAGAACTGATGAGGCAAGGTGCCCGGTTTTCACAGTTGATATAGCCACAGTATTTCCAACACTAGAAGTGCGCAATCGAGTTGTTAAAATGGGTGCTATTTTTGCTGATGTATCTATTCCACCACTCAAGATGGTAGGCCTTGTTCCAGTAGTACTCCCACTTAATGGCACAGAAGTAGAATCTAAATGTGTGTTTGCTGGTACTGTAGATATATTTAATGCTCTTGTTACAACATATGGAGATTCTTTGTCAGGTGCAGTATTCTGACAAGACAAACTTGAACAAACAGGAACCAAAGCACCACTTGTTGACAATGGCACAAATAAATCCTGGCTATTTTTATCTTCTCTATCTTTTGAAGATGTAGACTGCATAATGTTAATTGATGGAACACTCTGAGCATTACCTGTGCTATTTATAGTGGCCTGACCAATGTTAAGTCCTATTTTTACATCTTTTATTTGAGAAACAGTTGGTGACGTATTTACTTTAATGGATGCTCCCACAGTAGATGGAATGAGGACTAACTGAGGCTGCTCTGTGCTTTTAATATATGCTTTACCCACAGGAGGGAAAGTCTGCTTAAATGATTCTGCAGTTAAATTAGTGTTTGTTTGAATACTGCCAAGTGGAGTATTAATGAAAACCAGTTTCTGTGCAGTAGTGCCAGTGGATGCTGGAGCAGGGATTAGATTGACTCCTGTAGTCCCACAGGCAGGAAGAAGGGGGGGATTTGTGACCAACATAAGTTTTTGAATCTGTGCACCACTCATCACACTTCCAGTGGTTATAGGCATGGATTCAGGTTGTGAAGCAGGACATTTTGTACTACTTATACTGATCTGCTGATTAGTAAAAGAACTGTGTGTAGTACATGTTGTATTCTGTCCAATGGGTCCTGAAGAAATGTTAATTGCATTACCAGAGCTGTTTGATGGTGGCATAACAATGTTGGAGGCTACGGGAGACAGGAAAGTAGGGGAGGAGACGTGTACATTTTTTTGCACTCCATGACCCATGTTACTACCAGTTTGTGACATCTGCTGTCCAAATGCAAGTGTCATATTTTTCCCTGCTGCTTGATTTATACAGGGAGCAACAGTTGAATTGGAAGTAGAGGTTGTGGAAGAGGACTGGATAAGTGTTGGGGAACAAGGTATGGTGGTTGTTACAGTTGAAACAGTAGAGGTTGACAGTGGTGTGGATTTGGGCACTAAAAATGCCTGAAGCTGAGGTGCATATGTAAAAACAGAACTTGGAGATAAGCTACAAGGGGAAACCTGTTCTGCATTTGTCTGCACCTTAACAATTCCTGTGTTCCCACCTCGTGTTGTAACAAGAATAGACTGTGAATCTCTGATACAGATGGTTTTCAATTCTTGCTTAGCGTCACCCATATCAACACTTTTTTGTGGAGATGCTAGTCTCAGGGAAGAACTGCTGGTGCATGCAGAAACGCTCTGTGGTAGTGTTGTTGTCAAAGTCTGAACAGTTGAGGAAAAAGTGGGTGAAGCAACGGGAGAAGATGCAGCCAAAATTACTGTCTTAGTTTTAGTGGTCTCACTTTCGCTTGTTTTCACGACTGATGTCACCACATTACTTGTGGAGGTTATAGAGGGCAATGCTGAAAATCTGTTCACTACATTAGCTTGCTGTGGCAAATGTGTATTATTCTTTCTAAAGTTTGGGCCAGGCAAAAATGCGGTAGCAGGATTTGCAGTAGAAACTGGAAGAGTAGGTGTTAGAGTAGTGTCGAAAGCTGTTGGCTGTGGCAGCGAGATGCAGTGCTGTTCAGTAGTCTTTTGCTGCAACAGTGGTGTTCCTTTTGCTCCACTTTTATTCTCTTTGTGATGAATAAGAAAATTTTTAGGCAAAATAAGGACTTGCTGCATGATCTTTTCTCCAATGTTTTTCTCTGAGAATTTACAGTCAGTCATAGGCTGCATCTGAATCTTCACTGAATTGTTATGCAGGTCTATTGGCACACAGTGGCCACCTGGAATTTTATATAATACTTGTAAAGGACTCTTTGAGCTGCTCTGGCTGGGCAACATAGGTTTGACTGGGGATGTGCCCATAGTTGACATTATCAGCTTTTCAGATGTCAAAATGTTTTTACCTGCAGTGGGTGACAGCTGACTCGTTAAGGTCACTTTGTTCCCAGTATTCTTAGCAAGTAAGGCCTGGATGGGTTTGGTCCCTTTTACTAAATTTGATGTTGGAGAGTCTGTCATATTCAATGGTTCTGAAAGTGAGGATTCTATTTTCTTATCCAAGCAACCATCAATTGACAGGTCATTGTCTGTACTATGGATTAGAGAATCACTTGTGCTTAATCTCAGCTTTTTTCTTGGTGAAAAGTCATTTGTGCTGTCATCCAGGTGACAGTCTTGCTTCAACTGGCGTTTAAGAGATCTAGGCACTGTCTTTTGAATTTCTTTACAATTCAGTTCTTTTCTTACTGGTCTGGATTTTCCTGCAGCAAGATCCGTTTCTGATAATTTCATGTCCTCTAGGGAAGCAAAGCAAAGAAAAATATTTCAACAAGCAAAATTTAAACATTTTAATAAATTTATTAGACCATTCTAGAGCGTAATACTGGAGGGAGCATGCTATCTGTCATGATTGATAGCCAAAGACACTCCCAATGTTCACAAATTTATCCAATACCCTTTTCCGATCTGCCCAAGTCAGTGGACATCATTACATATTGTGGCAGCAAATTTCACAGTTTTAACTGTGTGCCTTGTGAAAAAAATCATTTCCTTTTCTCTATTCTGGATTATCTCTATTCTGGACTTCCAGACCCCAAATTCATCCAAAATCCCCCAGGCAGAATTCTGGAACTGAGAGAGAAGTTAGAAGGCAAAAGAGATGCTTCCCTATATTTTCTGCTTCCCTCCTAGAAGTCACCACAGCGCTCCATGGCAAAAGAGGCCTCCCTACCCATTAGATCCTATAGTGCGAGCTTCTCACTGAACTACTCTTCCCATTGAGCACTGGGGTAACACCCAGGAAGCAGTGGGATTCAGTGGGCATTTCCTTCATCTTCCCAGTTGAAATATATGAAGTGAAGCAGAAAACTGAGGTAGGGAGGCATCTCTTTTGTCTTCTGGTTTCTCTCTTCCCAGTCCCAGGATTCTGCCTAGGAGATGTTAAATGAATTCTGAAACTAGAAGTCCTAGAAATCTGGAAATCCTATTTCTATTCTTGGTTTCCCATCATCAAGGCTATATAGAAGAACCCTTCTGATATTCTGGAAGAAGAAGAAACCCTCCTTCATGTGTACCTTCTCAACACCAAGCACAAGTGTATACACCTTTTATCATGTCTGTGTACTGCTATCCTTTCCATGACATGTAGGAACAAGAGAAAAGGATGAGATCATGCAAAACAAATTACCATCCCTAAAGTGGCAATAATTATGCTAAAGCTTTTGCTATTCAAACTTCTGATGTGACTGAACTAAAAACCCACACATAGAACTGATGTAACACTTCTAGGAATTCACAATGACTCCTAAAGGCACCTACCCGAGTTTGTGCAATCCCTTTTCAGAAATTCTGTGTGCTCTGAAGGTTCACTGGCTAATGAACTGGAAACCTCTTTGCCAGTATGTATTTCGCTATCCTCATTAGTCCACTGTTCTCTAGTAAATTTATCATGATCCGGTTGCCTTTTGAAGTCATCATAGTCTTTTTTTAATCGAGACCTTCAACAGAACATCAGAAGTAAGAATTGTAATCAGTAATAATGAGTAATTCTTACTGGAAGGGAGATCTAATCACGAATTTACAGCATTCACTATAAATGTGTGGAAAGTCAGGCTTTTCATCCCTACCAGATTAGCAACTACAAAGTAAAATAACTAGTGCTGAGTTCTTATATTTCATATTATTCAGAAGAATCCAGCTCATTACCTGTTTCTTTGAAAAGCCTTCAATAGTTTTGGTTCCCATGGTAACAATTCGTTTAACAGTCGTATTAGAGTACAGTGTAGTTCTTTTACAGCTTGTTTTCGCTGATACCACCTTCCCTGTAAATATAAAAATGCCACATTTATTAATACTTTAACTAATTAATTTTCTTTCAGGGAAAGACCTAGTCTGAGGTTTCATATTAACCAATCTTTATGCTGAAAATTAAAATGGAAGAAAACGTTATTGGAGTAACTCATATTTTCAGCTAAAGCAGAGTGCTTAACTTTCCTACCTGTAAACTTAAGTTCTGCATTCAGTCACACAGGTCTAACCACGTTACCCATGCATAAATATATATGAAAGGTTACAAATTCAGGTATATAAAGCATATATAAAAATAATTTTAAATAGCTTGTGAAGAAAACGACCTGAGAAATGGTCAATTAACATTAATTATGAGTCAATCTACCTTGGACAAAGTAGTCTTTTAGGCTCTGTATAGATCTAATTACTTACTTAGAAAGCAGCTTCAAGAGGACTGAAGGCTGCAGACACAGCATTGTACCCCGACAATTACTGACACTTTTTTTACACTTAAAAGCCATCCTCTTGCACATGTATTTCTACAGGCAGTGGCATAGGATGGCTTGCTAACACCCAGGAATTACGCCCCCTAACCCATGGACCTGCATCCTCTCCTCCTCCCTCCATCCCTAATAGGACTGCCCCTAAGGCACCCTCTTCCTCATCCATCATCATTTCTTCTTCCTCCATCTTCCCCAGCTCCTCCTCGCCTACCTCACACTGGACTCAGCCATAGGGGGGCCACTATGCCTTCAGCTCCTGCTGCTACACTGTAGCTTCCTGCAACATCCACATGGCCGTGCTCTGCTCTTGCTACTAGCCCAGCAGGAAGATGCTGCTGGCCAGGCTCAGTACCGGCAGAAGCCCAATGGTGGCCAGGAAGATGCACAGTGATGCCTGGACCCCTGGTGCCCCCAGCCCAGCCTGCATGGCTCCAGTTGCCCAGCAGCCACACCCCCTACACCAGCCCTGGTTGGACAGAGGCTACCAGCATACTCTCCTTGATAGGGGTGGTCTACTCCCCATCATTGCCCTGCTCTGTACTTATACTGGGCTGGGGTTGGCTGGTTCACCCTGCTTGCCAGACAGCCTTGGCAGGCAGGGAGGTGGGGGGCAGTGGCGGGAGGGGGAGAGAGAGAGAGATGATGGAGGAACAGAGCTATCAGGTCAAGCCCAGCGCAAGAAGGAGTGTGGACGTGTGAAACGACAGAGGTTGTGCCCCTAACAAGGTTGTGCCCTGGGGCAACCACCCCTCTACCCCCCTCCCCCATGCTATGCCATTGTCTACAGGTTTTGCCACTAAGGAATACTGAGATATTCAGGGCAAACTGAGGAAGGCTTTGGATACAAACAATTCAGCAACATTTTGTAATATAACTCCAAATCGGTAGGGCCCTGGAACTTTACTCTTTACTTTGGCTTATCATCCTCCATACTCTTCATGGACTGCTGCCTTGTCATGGTGAAGGGGCTTAAGTAACTCAGAGAAGCTATGGGCTATGCCGTGCAGGGACACCCAAGACGGACAAGTCATAGTGGAGAGTTCCAACTAAACGCTGGAGTAGGAACTGGCAATCTACTCCAGTATCTTTGCCAAGAATACCCCATGAACAGATACAAAAGGCTATAAGATATGACGCTGGAAGACGGGCCCCTCAGGTCGGAAGGCGTCCAACATGCTACTGAGGAAGAGCAGAGGACAAGTACAAGTAGCTCCAGAGCTAGTGAAGTGATTGGGCCAAAGCTGAAAGAACGCTCAGCTGTGGATGTGCCTGGAAGTGAAAGGGAAGTCCGAAGCGGCAAAGAAAAATACTGTATAGGAACCTGGAATGTAAGATCTATGGACCTTGGGAAGCTGGACGTGGTCGAACAGGAGATGGCAAGAATCAACACTGACATCCTGGGCGTCAGTGAACTAAAATGGACAGGAATGGGCGAATTCAATTCAGACGATTATAATATCTACTATTGTGGGCAAGAATTGCATAGAAGGAATGGACTAGCCCTCATAGTCAACAAAAGAGTGGGAAAAGCTGTAATGGGATACAATCTCAAAAATGAATCCAAGGCAGACCTTTCAATATCACAGCAATCCAAATTTATGCACCAACCAACAATGCTGAAGAGACTGAAATTGACAAATTTAGTGAAGATTTACAACACCTTCTAGAACTGACACCAAAGAAAGATGTTCTTCTCATTATAGAGGATTGGAATGCTAAAGTAGGGAGTCAAGAGATAAAAGGAAGAACAGGTAAGTTTGGCCTTGGAGTTCAAAACAAAGCAGGGCAAAGGCTAATAGAGTTTTCTCAAGAGAACAAGCTGGTCATCACAAACACTCTTTACCAACAACACAAGGGGTGACTCTACACATGGAAATCACCAGATGGGCAATACCATAATCAGATTGATTACTGCACTGTATATTCTCTGCAGCCAAAGATGGAGAAGCTCTATATAGTCAGCAAAAAGAAGACCTGGAGCTGATTGTGGCTCTGATCATCAGCTTCTCATAGCAAAATTCAAGCTTAAACTGAAGAATGTAGGAAAAACCACTGGGCTAGTCTAAATCAAATCCCTTATGAATACACAGTGGAAGTGAAGAACAGATTTATGGAACTAGATTTAGTGGATAGAGTGCCTGAAGAACTTTGGATAGAGGCTCATAACATTGTACAGGAGGCAGTAACAAAACCATCCCAAGGAAAAGGAAATGCAAGAAAGCAATGTGGCTGTCCAATGAGGCCTTACAAATAGCAGAGAAAAGAAGGGAAATAAAATGCAAGGGAGACAGGGAAAGTTACAGAAAATTGAATGCAGATTTCCAAAGAATAGCAAGGAGAGACAAGAGGGCCTTCTTAAATGAACAATGCAAAGAAATAGAGGAAAATAATAGAAAAGGAAAAACCAGAGACCTGTTCAGGAAAATTGGAGATATTAAAGGAACATTTTGTGCCAAGATGGACATGATAAAGGACAAAAATGGGAGGGATCTAACAGAAGCCGAAGACATCAAGAAGAGGTGGCAAGAATACACAGAGGAATTATATCAGAAAGATTTGGCTATCCCGTACAACCCAGACAATGTAGTTGCTGACCTAGAGCCAGACATCCTGGAGAGTGAAGTCAAGTGGGCCTTAGAAAGCCTGGCTAACAACAAGGCCAGAGGAGGTGATGGCATTCTAGTTGAACTGTTTAGAATCTTAAAAGATGACGCTGTTAAGGTGCTACATTCAATATGCCAGCAAGTTTGGAAAACTCAACAGTGGCCAGAGGACTGGAAAAGATCAGTATACATCCCAATCCCAAAGAAGGGCAGTGCCAAAGAATGCTCCAACTACCGTACAATTGCACTCATTTCACATGCTAGCCAGGTTATGCTCAAAATCCTGGAAGGTAGGCTTCAGCAGTATGTGGACTGAGAACTCCCAGAAATACAAGATGGATTTCAAAGGGGCAGAGGAACTAGAAACCAAATTGCTAGTGCACGCTGGATTATAGAGAAAGCCAGAGAATTCCAGATAAACATCTACTTCTGCTTCATTGACTATGCAAAATCCTTTGACTGTGTGGACCACAGCAAACTATGGCAAGGCCTTAAAGAAATGGGAGTGCCTGGACACCTTAGCTATCTCCTGAGAAATGTATACATGGGACAGGAAGCAACAGTTAGAACTGGATATGGAACAAGTGATTGGTTCAAAATTGGGAAAGAAGTATGCCAAGGCTGTATATTGTCTCCCAGCTTATTTAACTTATATGCAGAATACATCATGTGAAAGGCTGGACTGGAGGAATCCCAAGCCGGAATTAAGATTGCCGGAAGAGATATCAACAATCTCTGATACGCAGACGATACCACTCTGATGGCAGAAAGTAAGGAGGAATTAAAGAACCTTGTAATGAGGGTGAAAGAGGAGAGCGCAAAAAATGGTCTGAAGCTCAACATCCAAAAAGCTAAGATCATGGCCACTGGTCCCATCGCCTCCTGGCAAATAGAAGGGGAAGATATGGAGGCAGTGACAGATTTTACTTTCTTGGGCTCCATGATTGCTGCAGATAGTGACAGCAGCCACAAAATTAAAAGACGCCTGCTTCATGGGAGGAAAGCAATGACAAACCTCAACAGCATCTTAAACAGCAGAAACACCACCTTGCCAACAAAAGTCTGCATGTTCAAAGCTATGGTTTTTCCTGCAGTGATGTATGGAAGTGAGAGCTGGACCCTAAAGAAAGCTGACTGCCGAAGAACTGATACTTTTGAATTGTGGTCCTGGAGGAGGCTCTTGGGAGTCCCCTGGACGTTAAGGAGAACAAACCCATCCATTCTAAAGGAAACCAACCCTGAGTGCTCACTGGAAGGACAGATCCTGAAGCTGAGGCTCCAATACTTTGGCCATCTCATGAGAAGAGAAGACTCGCTGAAAAAGACCCTGATGTTGGGAAAGGGTGAAAGCAGGAGGAGAAGGGGACGACAGAGGATGAGATGGTTGGACAGTGTCATCGAAGCTACCAACATGAATTTACCCAAGGCAGTGGAAGACAGGAGGGCCTGATGTGCACTGGTCTATGGGGTCACGAAGAGTCAGACACGACTAAGCAACAACAACCGTCCTTCAGTCTGCTCAGTTTCCAGTAGAGTTTTGAAATGGCAGATTGTCCACCATGCAGTCTCCCTTCCCTTCCCTCATAGGGGTGTTGTGTTATTCATTTAAATGCAGTTCTTATAGGGCTCCCAATATCAATTAAGAAAATAAAACACAATAACCATAATGTTAATAGTTCCAATAATGATGAAATCTATTGTTTCTTACATAATGTTGTTATTTTTTTCCACAAATTATACTCCCCTTTTATTTTATTGGCTAACCTACAAAAGAGATAGAGGAGTAAGCAAGCCAGCCAGCAAATGCCCACCTGGATTTGTACCATGTGAAATGATTCTGGGAGGGTTTCAACTGCAGAAACGATGTTTATTGAATGGGCTTATTCCTCTTGAAGCATATATGAATGATTAAGGATGGAAAATATAAGGCTTTTATCAGCAAATATTTAACTGGAATAACCCAGCCTAATATTTTTCCATAAAACCAGATGCTATATGACTGGATGTCCAACTATTTAAAAATATTATGCTACAGATGGACTGCAATTCTGTGCATATTTACTGAGGAAAAGCTCCATCAGAGTATCTACAGTTTGCGAGACACAGTATAGAAGTAGTAAGATCCCTGTCCAGTAGGTTTACAGTTTAAATTCAATGGATTTGATAAATCATGGAAGAAAGGGACACACACAAAAGGCAATGAAAATGGAATGGAAAGGACAAATTATGCTTGTTATGATGTTAGTCACACATTAAGTTCAATTTCCCTGAAAAAGCCATAGAAGTAATGCCCAAACACTGATACACAAGTGATTTCCATCTTAGAAGTTAATAACTGAAGGTCAATAAGCAAAGCAAAAGCAAAGCAAAGCGTGCTGCCCCATAGCACTTCAAGTACTCTCTGGGCGGTCTACAAGTTAATTATGCAGGCTACACATTGCTCCCCCAGTGAGCTGGGTACTCATTTTACCGACCTTGGAAGGATAGAAAGCTGAGTCAACCTTGAACCGGCTACCTGCGATTGAACCCCAGGTCGTGAGCACAGTTTTAGTTGCAGTAAAGCAGTATAACCACTGCACCACAAGGCTATTCCATTCCAATAAGGAGGAAGGTTAAGGGGAATATTTTAGATGTTTTCCACAATTCATACTGCTACTCATAATACCAGTGACAGTTGCAAAATTGTTGTAGAGCTTTTTGTTTACACTGAACAAAAGCAAAATAAAGTTTAAAACACATACCGATTTCTTTTTAATGTTCTCAACATCTTTGAGTTCATTTTCAATTTTTCCAATCAATTCCCTGAGTTCATCAAGATTAGTGCAAATAAGCTAATAAGAAAGAGAGAAAGAGAAAATATAGTATTCTAAATCAGCCTAACACATATTGTATCAGCCCTTTAATCCTAAAAATATATTTATTACAACATTTGGCAATACTTAACTATAGAAACTGGTTATTCTCATGCATATTTCATCCAGAATTCTAATGTATCTTCAGATACTCAAAACCCACTATTGACATATTAAAGGAGTTATGTGCTTTTACTTTTGGTCAATAAATAGGGAAAAATGACAGGGGAAAAGATCTGGAATTTGAAATGTTGCTTTTGTAGCATTTTGTAGCATTCCTCTCTTCAAATTTCAATCTCTGTTAGATTTTCCTCAGAATTCAAAGATGGCTGGCGAGATAACTCTGTGGTTTAGTAATCTGGCTGCAAAGCCAAAGGTTGGGAGTTTGAGTCCCCACTGTGCATCCCAAAAGAAGACAACTTGTGTAGTCATGGGCAAGCTGCACAGTCCCAAGGCACCACCCAAAAGAAGACTATAGCGAACCACTTCTGAGTCTACCTGGAAAACCTGAAAAGGCTCTCCATTAGTCAGAACTAACTTAATGGAACATGATTATCATTATTTCATTTAAATATTACTTTCAGGGAGAAAGTAAATACCAGAAAAATGCTACTTCATAAACATATCACATGGTTCTCTGATTCTTTTCATTATTATCCCAGAAGAAATCCTCACATGCTTTACTGCTGACACTGTTCACAAAGTCAATATGTGGCAATCACTGATCACATGTGGGGGGGGGAATCTAAGACATTCTCCTCATTTTTGTGGTTTTCAGGTCAGTATTGCATGAGGTAATAGTTACTGAATCATTTAAGATTAAGCAAATTGGAACTAAGTAGGTATTTACCTGAAATTCTGGGACAGTAGGTTTTATAGCAGATTTCCTCTTCTTGGTAATTGCTTTTTTAGAAATGGATTTCTTTCCTTGAAGGGAATAAAAATGCATATATCTAAACAGAAATACAGATATGCGAATAATAAACAATGTTTCAAAAACACAGTAACTAAGTATCTTTTTTGGCAACTTCAGGTGAATAACCCAGTCGTAGTATGCATGTATTTGTGTAAAGTTTGCCCTACAATGATGATCCTGAGAACATAATCTCATATTTAGACACCCTGATGAACACCCTGAAAAGAAATTTAGAACCAGCTGCTGAGAATCTTCAAGTGCAGAAAAATAAACAGAAAGTCTGATATGACAGAAAAGCCAGTTTTAACCCTGGAGATGAAGTACTTATGCTGAGACCTCTCAAAGGGAACAAATTACAATTAAATTGGGCAGGACCATTCAGATTTATTGCCAAAATGAATGATCTTAATTACATCATTAAAGAAGATGGATAACCAGGCAGGAGGGTAGTTCATGTGAATATGATTAAACCATATTATAGAGAGGAGAATAGGGTGTTATTTGCCATGAAGGAAGCGGACAAGGAGAAACACGATTTGCCTTATTGGGAAGGGAGAGGGAAAGTTAGATACAACCCTGAAGAAGTCAAAATCAGCCCTTTACTCTCCCAAGAGCAGCAGAATGAATTGAAATCCTTAGTTACAAAGTACCAACATGTTTTCTCTAACAAGCCTGGGTTAGCCAAGGGAGTGGTGCACAAGACAGATACTGGAGATGCACCCCCACAAGCAGTAACTCCATATAGAGTCACTGGGCCATATGTTGACAAGGTGCGCAAGGAGCTAGATGAGATGTTGAAGAAAAATATTATTGTTCCATCATCAAGCCCTTGGTCTGCTCCCATAGTCCTGGTGGACAAACCAGATGGAAGTATTTGGTTCTGTGTTGATTATGGAAAGCTTAACCTCGTAACTAAGCCGGATGCTTACCCTATGCCCAGATTGGACAACCTGATAGAGACCATAGGGGGATGTCAGTATATTTCCTGCCTAGACCT